GCAGTTTTAACTAACTTTGAACTGAAACTGCTGCTTAATGAATATTTTTCTCAACATCTGTGACTTTTTTAGACCCCAAACATAAGATACCAAGACATAATGCTACCAAGTTCTGATATTGGAAGTTTCAGAGCTCTAGATCAAATATTCACTTCTGCATGTACTTTTAAAAAGAGGCAAAAGGACAAAAAACCTGTCAGATATCGTGAAAAATATGAAAGATGCACTATTCAGAACAATTTATCTCTTAAATGTTACTTTTATTTGACATAATTTCTGATTCTGCCTCCAGTTAGTACCACCAATAATACATATGAGAAGACTTAACGTCATAGTATGTGGAAGTACAGATCTATTGGCTTCTGAAAATGGGAAAAGCTGTAGCAAGTATGATTTTCACCAGTTTTTCATCTAAGATTGCAACTTTCTGAATTTTCTTTTTACAAACTGCACAGTAAGACCAAAGACATTAAAGGAAACCTGGTCATTGTACCACCAATAATAGGTAAAAATAATATTGGTAATATATACCAAGTGTTTACTTTAATTCCAAGGCATCTGAATTGATAAATAAATGAAATCAGTACTTTATTGTATCTTGGGACAAAATACACTGTTTGAATGCTTAAGCTTGACATCACAGTATCAAGTGAAAGTTGTTATATACAGCTATATATCACTTTAACTGACTTTACTCTTCAATGCCTGGCCATTCTAAGAAAAATGCGACGGAGGGCAAAGAGGGTGCATGGTATAATTGGTAATTAAGCTCTTCTAGAGTTTAAAGCTCCCACAATTTTTAAAAACGAAATGGAGAATAACATGTCAAAGTATAGGATGGTCTAATTGTTCTAAGAAAGTTTTTGAAAGTAACATTGCATGATATATTTAAGCAAGAGATATGTTCCAAAATGCTTTCAGGTAGAAATAAAGCTCCGTAATGTAAAAACAATGTATTCTCAGTATTCAATAATAACATTCTTTATAGGTTTTTTGGTCTTAAGCATATATATAGGATATCCTATGATTTATGAGTGATATGATTTTCATCCACGAATGGATATGATCATCTGCACGAGCGAGCGTAGCAAGAGAGTGCAGATATCAATATCCATGAGTGGATTAAAATCATATCACGAGTAAATCATAGGATGTTCTTTTTATTCCATAGTTAAAGTCATCATCAGAATCGTCGGAAATTAAGTGATTTAATTCGAATTTTCCAAACGATCCGGCGATAATGACACTTAGCCTCGTTTTGAGTCTGAAGTAGCAAAAATCCATAAACCATCGCATACGGCGCCGTATGTCATGGCTAAAAAACCGTATGCTATGGTTAAGTGAAAATTTGTCAAAAATATCATATTTTACCACTGATTACAAAAATACCGTTTTTATTTTCACATGTTATCCTATGAATATCATGCTAACTATGGAATAACAGTGATAATCCCATGGTTGCAAGGATATAGATCGAATATCACATGAAGATATATTTGATATGTGGATCAAGTTATAATATTTTAGCAAAAAATTCACAAACCATCGAATATCACTTTTAAACTATCGAATATCACGTCTTAAAAAGTGATATTCGGTGGTTTGAAAAGTGATATTCCATGGTTTCGAATTTTTTCAAAAAAAAATTTCTTTTTACATTTTTTAATTATTTTCAAAAATATTTAAAAAAATTTTAACATTTTTTCACAATTTTTTTTCAATTATTTTTTCAAATTTTTTCTCGAATTATATTTTTCACATTTTTTCGCTGATGATGATTTCCCATGGGATAAATTTTTTTTTTCAAAAATATCAATTATATCCACTCATGGATACTATAGGAATATCCTATGGTTTTGAAAAAATATCATTTATATCCATGAGTGGATATTGATATCTTCATGAGTGAGCGCAGCGAATGAGTGAAGATATTTGTATCCATGAGTGGATATAATTGATATTTTTGAAAAACCATAGGATTGTCCGTTTATCCCATGGGAAATCATCATCAGCGAAAAAAGTTGAAAAATATAATTTGAGAAAAAATTTGAAAAAATAAATGAAAAAAATTGTAAAAAAATGTTGAAAATTTTTTTTGAAATTTTTAAAAATATTTTTGAAAATGATTAAAAAATGTAAAGAATTTTTTTTAAAAAATTCGAAACCATCGAATATCACTTTTCAAACCATCGAATATCACTTTTCAAACCATCGAATATCACTTTTTAAGACGTGATATTCGATAGTTTAAAAGTGATATTCGATGGTTTGTGAATGTTTTGCTAAAATATGATATCTTGATCTACATATCAAATATATCCCCATGTGATATTCGATCTATATCCTTGCAACCATGGGATAAAAATATTTTCACTCACACGCTGCGCTCACTCATGAAAATATCAATATCCACTCATGGATATAAATGATATTTTTTCAAAACCATAGGATATATAGAGGTTATTTAATGGGAGGGATGGAAAATGGATTTTATTCCGAGGGAAAATATGATATTGGCCAAGGAAAATATCATATTGACCGAGGGCGATAGCCCGAGTGTCAATATGATATTTTCTGAGGCCAATATCATATTTTCTCAAGGAATAAATCCATATTCCATCACGACCATCAATAACCTATTTATTTCATAATAATGATTATGATAATAATGAGGATATAATATGATATAATTATGATAATAATTTCAATAATTTCAATTTTCCAAACGATTTTTTTACTTCCTGTAGAGATGTGCTAGACGAAAAGCGTAAAACTCAAGAGAAATTACCGGGAATATTTCTGATACGGGATCTGATACGGGATTTTTGCTGATACGGGATCCAATACGGGATCTGATACGGGATTTTGGCTGATACGGGATCTGATACGGGATTTTTCAAATAACACTTTTATTCCCTGTTATTTTCCCAGGGAAAACATGTTATTATGGAATAATCCTATATTATATCAATCCGGATGCTGAAGTCACTTAATAAATAATAACTAGATGTAACTCCTAGTAAGCACTTCAAGTTTCAGTTCTAAATAAAATACAGTTTAGTTAAAAAATTGTTAAGAATACATACAGTTTTTCACAATCACAATTTCCCCATTTCTGACTGTATTTTGCATATTTTTAGGTGTCAATGGTTCAATGATTATTTGATATAACCTCCTGAAACTACTCTTATATATATTTGGTGGTACAGTGATATGGAATCCTGTCTTTTGGGGTCTCACAGAATTCTTGTTTTAGAGAAGAAAATCCTGAAAGCTGCAGTTTAATATTATGAATTATAGGTGAAAATTGCACTTGCTACACTGCTTCTCCCATTTTTAGATGCTAATAAATCTGTAACTACATTTACTATGACCTTAAGTCTACTCATATGTATTATTGGTATTACTAAGTAGAGGCAGAATCAGAAATTATGGGTAAATAAAAGTAAAATTTAAGAGATAAATTGTTCTGAATAGTGCATTTTGTCACATTTTTTCGCGATATCTGACTGCATTTTGTGTCTTTTGGTTTTTTTTAAGAGTCCATGCAGATATGAATACTTGATCTAGAGCTCTGAAATTTTCAATACCAGAATTTGGTAGCACTATGTCTTGATATCCTGTGTTTGGACTCTAACCAAATCACAGTTGTTGAGAAAAAAATTCATAAGTAGCACTTTTAATTCAAAATTAGTTGAAACGGCACTCAAGACAGCTTTCCTCATTTTTGAAAGCCGATAGATCGGCAAGCATTTACACCATGATCTTCAATCTGGGCATACATATTCTTAATGGCACTATCTCATTGCCCAGATATTGTGGAAACATTGTGACTTATATTCCATGTGATAGTAAGCACTGAAAATGGACTTGTTGCATTGTGGCGGACCCCATACAAAACAAACATAGGGGTAAGGGGGGGGGGTTTAAACGTTGATCAGTTCTGCTATTTTTTGTGGCTATTGGTCATATAGTAGATCATTTTGTCAAAAGGTAAGGGTGATCCGAGAAAAAGTTTGTAAATTGAAACAGTCTATTAGATTTCATTATGATACATTGTACAAAATTGAAATTGTATATATAAAATATGTAGAGTCCTATATTTTAATAATAAATGAATTACATTGTGAAGTAACAAGTGAAGATGTTTTATATGCATTGATTTGCTTTCTATCAATACAAGTTTTTAATTGTATGCTGCAAAATGATAACATTGACCACGCCCACTTTCCAGGGGTAGGGTACTATAAAGTCATATTAAAAATCATAAATAGTACATTATCATTATTATAATTGTATTACAATATCAAACAAAGCTTGAATTAGTTTTTAGAAAACAATTTTGAGCTATTCAAGCTGCCATCTTTTGCTGGAAGCTACAAATATAAGATACGTGAGACTTAAAAATGACTAAAATTGCGTATTTTTTTCCTATTAATTGCAATATTTCTGAGACTAATACAGATATCGGCCTATAACTTTAGGATATTATTCATCTTTGGACTAGTAATGTGTGCTGTAGAAAGCAGAACAATAGCAACTATATCCTTTATGTTATGAAATAGTCTTATAGTACCCCCTGAAATCGCAGGAATTGAAGTCCAATTCGGCCGTGAAAATTGTTTTTACCACTTTAAAGGCCATCACCTTATATTTTCTTACACCTACTAGTTTACTCTAACATACTGCATTGCCAAAAGTTACTTCTTGCAAACTTCCGGCAAAACTGTGCCAGCATCTGATACATTACATAAAATACTTGATCCCAATAAGTTATCATGTTATAGGAATTGAACCAGGTAAACAGTAAACACACATTTTGAAAGAATTACAAGATATTGCACAGTATAGCATGATAATTATCATTGACTAAACATCAAATAATTCCTATAAAGACTTACACAGTCTAGATTAAAATATAAACATCACATATGATACAGCAATAGTCCTGGGTTGTATAAGATTAGCTTTAAGGATAAGATATTTGTTTACAAGATCTTTTTAATATTGCTTTGGAATGGTCATAAAATGCTGTTTCATCATGTGCCTTCTTAGATTTCTCTCTTCAGTGTATGCACTGATACAATAGTTACATTTGAATGATTTTACAGCAGGCTTCAAATGTCTAGCTCTATGCTTTTTCAGGTATTCCATAGTTGTGAATGATTTTGAACATAGTTCACATTTAACTAATTTTTGTCCTGTATGAGTCAGCAAATGGACTTTGAGATATCTATTTTGCACAAATAGTTTACCACAGATGTGACAAGCCTTTTTCGCTGCTGTATTGTGGCTCTTTTCATGTTTAGCCAAATATGATTTGTTGATAAATCCTCTACCACATTGGTCACAAATAAAGGATTTAATTCCAGTATGAATATTTTCGTGTTCTACAAGGGGTCTCTTTTCACCAAATGACTTCCCGCAAGTCTTGCACTTGAACAATTTCTGGTCAGGTTCATGTTCAGCGAGTCTGTGACGTCTCAACCCTGCTTCTCGTGAGTAACAATTTCCACAATATTCACAACTGAATTTTTTCTCACGAACAATGTTCATATGACTTTCCATATGTCGCTTCAATTTATATCGATAGTCAAATCGTTTTCCACACTGTTCACAGCTTATGATATCCAAGGTACCATTGCGGTCATCATGACTGGCCATATGAGCCTTAAGATGATCAAGATCTTTGAGTTGAATTTGGCATCGCATACAAAACCAATTTCGGGCCTGATTGCTGGAATTACCATTTTTTCCAGTTCTACTTTTGCCAGGGTTAGCATTAGTTTCAGCAATTTTAGTACTATCTATGTGATCATGACCATCTACATCTCTAGTGGCTTCGGCTTCAACTTTGTCTTCATCATCTAAATCTATTGTTGTTTCAGATTCTACTTGGTCATCATCATCATCTAAATCTATCGTGGCTTCGGACACTTCAGATTCTGCTTTGGAATCATCAGAAACACCATCCTCATCTGTATCTGAGTTAACATGATCAACTGCTGAGTCAGATACCTTTTCAACATCTGTTGTCGGATCCATTATAATGTTACTGATACAATGACTCAAAAATGATAATAATTAAGAGTAATTTGGTACCTTGTCAACTTTTTGGTAAATAATAGGTCCAAATCTGAACGGGAATCACTGGATGGCTGTAGTCTGAAAAAATAATGAAAAAGAAACGTTCAATCTTTTTTAACTTAATTTTACAAATGAATACTGAGAAATAAATCTTTCAAAAAAACAAATCATTTATTAAAGTCTTTCCCATATTTTTTTGAATTGTCATTCCAACATTGTAATTCAACCTTGTTTTTATTTTTTTGTAAAGCCACTCAGTAAAATTAAAAGCTTTCAAAATGCTGTTCCGCAGTGGCACAAGTAAATATTAGTTAAACCTGCACATCGCTCCAAAACGCAATATGTTGACATATATTGTTTTTACAATTTCAAGCTCTAATATAAAGTTTCTGTAAATATAAATTTTCTGCGTAATATCAAAGAACAATCATTTAGTTTAAAAAAATAGAAAAGTGAGTGCATGATTCGAACGTGGGCCGCCTGCGTGCTGAGCGAGCATTCTACCGCAGGGCTACCAACTTATTACGAATGAGGACATTAATTAAACGCCACTTATGTTGAATACTATAATTCAGAAGTAACGTCACATTCTTAATTTAGAAACCTTCCAAAAATCATATCATCCTCCACAATCAAAGCAATTCAATGAACAGTCTTTGTAATGACACATTGATCATGAGTATTTGTAAGATTTGCCCCATTTGTTCATCATTCTATAATCTTTCAAAATGATAAAGTTCACCCCCGAAACAACCAAAGATTGTGTTTTGGAGTGATGTGCAGGTTTAACTGATGTTGCATTCTGGGAGTCAATCCTCCTTGGATCACAAACCTGGCGATTCATGAAAACATTCGTTTGATCTGGTAGGAATTTATCCATCATTTGCGGGTATGAAGCTTTGGATTCATTTATTGTGCTACTTAGAGTGAACGGGAATTATTTTTTCTACCGCTTTGGAGAGTTTGAGACATGAAACTTAAAAACTTATTTTACATTTTGTATAATCTCATCCACTGATGTATGGCCTCTTGTAAATTCTCTTATTTTTAACATGGGAAATCCTCACTTCAGCAAATCCACCTGTCATTTATTTATGTCCCCAACTGTAATGCGTTGGATTGTCGCCAACACGATCCTCAGAGACCCAGAGGGTGCATGAATGCACCTAACGTTTTCCAAGAGTTAACCAATGATTCCTATTTATGAAGAGGCAAATAACTTAACTCTGTGCGCAAAGTTATGACATTGGTTATGACAAACCAGAACTGAGAAATATACCATTTTGTTTTGCTTCGATTTTCAGATGACGGCCCGTTTCACTTTCAGAGGGCAAACATTCGCAATAGACTCTTCATTCATCTGAATGTTAGCGCTAGAAAATGGAAAAAACATTACATTTAAAAAGTAAATATATGAGTTGTACTAAGAGTTACCTTTGTTAGCAGTATTCAAGGTTTTACCAAAGTGATAAATTCGGCAAAATAAGCACTATTTTTCATATTTTACTTTTTTTGATAAAAAATATCACGTGACCATAAATTCGTTCGTAACTTTCCGTAATTTTTTAAATATCCATTTCAATCCCCTTCAACTAATCTCGACACCATATTATAAAATATTTCTCAAAACAATTGCAAACAGAGAGAATAAACGAGCAATCAATTTAGTAAAGTGATAATTTAAGGGGAATTCTTACTTCGGAACTTTCCGTTCTGACCCTGAGCCGGTCACTTCCTTTCAATTATTTTAAATTCGACATGGCTGGAGGAAAGAAGCTTACCAAAGAAGAGGAGCTTTTGCTCCAAGATTTCAGTAGAAATGTAACTACGAAATCATCTGCCTTGTTCTATGGGAACGCCCTTATCGTATCAGCCATTCCATTATGTAAGTATATTCGAAATATTGATGAAAACAACATTTAAACGTGAGCTTTTTCAGGCTCTTTCAACAATAATATTGCCACGTCGAAGATTGAATGTTTTGTCAACAATATGGGTATAGTTGTGTTACAGATCTCAAGCAGAACTCATCCCAGACTAAACGATTTATATTTACGAGAACTATTTTAATGTTTATAAGCAGAAATCAGATTTGCAAACATGCCATATGGACAGTCACAATTTGAGGCCATAAGCATTCATGATTCTTGGGGGTAGTCATATAAATCCGACCATCGTATGCTTTATTTGTCGTTATTTTATGATAATTTGGATATTTATTTTTTGTTATTTTCTTGCATACTAGGGTCGTACACACTTGCCGGTTCTAAATTGAGGGAAATGCTTTCCTGGCCTGTTTGTTTGTTTTTTTGTTTTTTTTTGTTTGTCTGTTTTGGCAACCAAAATCACACAAATTATGTATTAGAATATGCTCTTCATCGATAATGCATTTAATCCTACCTTACACATGTCAAACGCTTGATAATTGAAGAAGTATAAGAATTTTTCTGGAAACAAATTTTTCCCCATGTGTAGATGCATTCTGGGTAGTAGAGTCCATTTCACTGCTTTATTGCGTCAGTAGAATGGCAAAAATAAGAAATTGGGAGACCATTGTGCAATAATATATGGAAAAGTATATTCATAATGTACATGAATGACATTTGTCTATTTCAGATTTTTTAGTTTTTTGTGCAATAAGCCTGTGCCATCCTGTAATTTGAGGAATTTCAGCCATGTTAATCTTATTGAAAATAACATGGCAGAGAAGCATCCAAATATAAGAGCCCACACACTATATAAGCCAAACTAGAATCAATCCAAGATATACAAATGTCATTCATGTACAGTAGGAATATAGTTTTCCATATATTATTGCAAAATGATATTTTGATTTCTTATTTTTTAGCTTTTACTGACGCAGTTAAACAGTGAATTGGACTCTAGTAATGATTTTGTAAAAGTAAAAGTCCAGGTGAAACGAAAAACGAAATTACAATAAATAACGGCAGCCATATTGAGATCAAGATTTCAACTCGAAAAAGTTTTATCATCGTCTCAAATATGAGAAAAGTGAGTTGTACAGGGGGAGGAAGGCGTCTTATGGCGATTGAATCGCCTTCTCAGACACCAAGGAGGGTGAAGAAACCGAAAACAGATATGTTGGATATTCAGACCTCCACAGATGTAAATATAAGACGTTGATAAAAACGTGTGATTTCCAAAAAATGCACATTTCGTCACCTCCATTTCGTTTCAAATTGGATTGTATATGCATAAACATGATCAGTAACATTAAGATAATAAATAATTACGATTTCGTTTTGGTTGCATGGTTTCACATTTAGACTGTATTCAGTAGTGACCTTGGGAGTCATATTGGAAATTGGTTCAAATATATACGAAAATGATTACATTTCTTCAATTATCAAGTGTTTCCTGTGTTTAAGGTAGAGTCCATTTCACTGCTTCATTGCGTCAGTAGAACGGCAAAAATAAGAAATTGGGAGACCATTGTGCAATAATACATGGAAAAGTATATTCATAATGTACATAAATGACCTTTGTATATTTCAGATTTTTTAGTTTTTTGTGCAATAAGCCTGTGCCATCTTGTAATTTGAAGAATTTCAGCCATGTTAATCTTATTGAAAATAACATGGCAGAGAAGCATCCAAATATAAGAGGCCACACAGTTTATAGCCAAACTAGAAGCAATCCAAGATATACAAATGTCATTCATGTACAATAGGAATATATTTTTCCATATATTATTGCAAAATGATATTCTGATTTCTTATTTTTTAGCTTTTACTGACGCAGTTAAACAGTGAAATGGACTCTAAGAGTTAATACATTCTAGTCGAAGCATTGGATCTAATATCTTATCTGTGTAACTTTGGTTGGGCATAGAGGGCAGAAAAGCGTTTACCGCAATATACTGAACCTAATATCCTCGACGCAAATGTTGAAAACAAAAATAAAATAACAAATATCCAAATCATCAAGAAGAAACGTGAAACAACAACATTAAGTCGAGTTCACTTGACTACTTGGGGGTGATCAGTGATAGTCTACTAAAATACACCTAGTCGGCCCCCTGTTTACATGGAGACGTATGAACGTACTAGTGAGTGAAGATCGTTCAAAAGATGATGCATAAACAGGATGCAGATTTGGGATGTCTACAAAACTATGAACATTTATTCAATATTTTTTCTATTCTAGGTATATGTTTGTCATTTAAATTTTGAGTTTCTTTCGAGCAAGGTTGCCGATTATAAACTGGGACATTCATTTTGTCATAGGCCTTGTAGTTCTCCCCCCAGAAAATTATGAAGTTTGGTTGTATTTGGAGTGTATTTGCGATCATCTGGTACGCCTGTGCGTAGGCTTCCACTGAAAGACCTGTGAATTTGCAGCATATTTTATATTTGTTTGTTATATTTTCAGGGTTGTTCTGGCGTATCCACCAGATGGACCCATATTCCTCCGCCATCTACTTTGTCCTTGTGACACTGGTCAGCACATATCTCGTCTCATTTGCCTATAAAAATGTAAAGTTTCTTCTCAAGCACAAGTAAGTAAGGGATGAATTGGGAATTTATTCATTGTTAGAGTTCAGCTGTTAGAGTTAACAAATTTTTCATACTTCATTGAGGGAATTGCCATGCATTCAAAGTGTTACATTAGTATCTGCCAATCAACTTCATTATTGTCTGATTGTGATCTATTAAGTGCTATAATCAAAATTTCCAACTATTAAAATCTGTTCACTTTAATCAATAATAATTATTAATATTAGCAATTACTAAATGAGATGATTGTTTGCAGAATTGCACAGAGAAGAGAGGAAGCTGTTACAAGAGAAATTATGAAGAAAGTAGGAGAAGATAAGAAAATGTCCAAGAAGGAAAAGGACGAGAGGTATGAATGGAATATTTGACATAGCTGTTTGTACAGGGTGGTCCAAAAATAGTGAACCCCTGCAACAAGCTATATTTTCCTTAATACTTGCATGAATAGACTAATATTATCACATGTTGTAGAGAAAAGTCTAAAATTTTGGTTGATGCCATAATTAAATCTCAGTCTTGAATTTTGAAGAAATTACAAGAGTTTAGCAAACATGCCTGAAAATTAGATATTGTGCAAGATTTTACCAATTTGATTCACAGAAATTGTTGAATCACATTGGATTTTAAACAGCTTTCAGTTAGAGATACAAGTTTAAAACCATACCATAGGGACACTATTTAAGCAGAAAACACATTTCACACTTTCATTGATCATTTTGAAGCAGTTTTAACCGTTCAACAGTTCAGGGGTATGTTACCTACACCAACAGTTAGAGGGGGGCCTTTTGTGGAAGGAAATTGCCCCCCTGTGACCAGGAAACTGAGAAACCCTTCATCAAATATCTTTAAAAATCAAAAGAAAATCCAATATTCAATGTTTTGAGCCATATTTCATGAGAATCGGTCCATGATTTATGAAGATATTGACATTTCAAGATCATATAGGGCTATGTTCGCAATTTCACTGGAAAATATTATCGTCTATGGAAGCTTAGAACATTTCTTTGGATCACAAGAACTTTGCAACTAACAAAGGTAGGGTGCTAGTTTTAAGCCATAATGTGTGGGATTCAAGATTGAACAAAGTGAGAAAATATTAGTTCTTTAAGACTGCAGCTTAAAAATGTAAGGGGAAGGGTGTTAAATAGGGGTGGGACGGATAACCGAAATACCGAAAAACCGCGGTTCATAGCCTTCGGATCGGTTTTCGGATCACGGCCCTACTTTTGGATCAGCTTTTCGGATCGTTTTCGGATTAATGTTTCATTGGTCAAGTATCAATAAAACAGTTAAAAACACTGTTTTACAGCAACATTTTTGATATTCCTAGTCCCCACCTTGTCTGTCTTGTCTGTTGCTAGCTCACTCATTTACTTGATTCGTTTCGTATCCGCGTATTCGTATCCCTCGGTAATCAATCATGTGGTCCCTGGTACTATATTCTTTAGTCGTGTATTCTAAATAATATGTATTGTTCATGAAATACTATAACATAAAATTCCATCTATAAAATATTGTTATAACGTGGCATAATTGATACAAAGATTTGCGCAAATTTATATTTGCGCAGGTTCGATATAGGGTATTATTTTGTGCGCACCCACAATACATTCAAGTATCAATATCCCAGGTTGGCTGAGGTTGCCAGGGTTCTTTTGGGTATTCCGGCGACATCGGTCCCGAGTGAAAGGGTCTTCTCGACGGCTGGTGACATTGTAACAGCCCAAAGGGCCCAATTGAAACCAGAAGCAGTGGACAGTTTTTCTTAAGAAAAACATGAGTGTAAACTCACTAAACTTACACAATCATGACTTCCTCTGTAAAAAACGCATCACAGAATAAAGGTTTCTACAAGCATAAATTAGTTATTTTATTGGTTGTATTAAAAGAAAGTGACAGTCAGCAGTGAAGTCAGAGACAAAGCAGCTAATCATGTCAATCAATACTACTCCTTAAAATGAATGAACCGAACCGAAAAAACCGAACCGACGGCTGATGATCCGAAAACCGAACCGAACCGAAACGAACCGTCCCATCCCTAGTGTTAAAGGGCTGAAGAATCGCGAATATTGAAAATCACATTTGATCCATTTTCATTAATATTTGGTTAGGGCTTATAATTTCTGCAAATTTCAAGACTTAGAAAAATGTATGGTGCCAACATAAATTTTAGACCTTCCTCTACAACATGTGAAAATATAATAGAATTCCAGAAAGTAATAAGGGAAATATGGTCCTTTGCAGGGGTTCACTTTTTTGGACCACCCCGTATATTATCACTCCTCCCAGTTTTGTTTTTGCATTTTGCGTGCATACCAATTTAGCCTCGGCTTACAAATTTGCAGAATTTCTACATACTTTTCTGTAGAATTATCAGTTTATCACATTGTTAGAAGTGACAAAAAGTATGATGAATGATCTTCTATACCATGGTAATTTACTGGTTTCAACAGCTTAATTATCCCAATGAACATAATTCAGGAGGTATGTAGAGAAGCCATCCATTCGTCCGTCCGTTTTCCTGTCCAGGTGATAAGTCAGATACCGATAATTGAATTATGTTCAAAATTATCTTTAGATGGTTTTTGGTATAATTCAGTTAAAAGCAAAAAAAGATAAATTCTTGCATCGTTTTCATAGCAAAATAGCATGAAAAATCTCATCATTTTTTGGCACACATGAAATTGGTCATTTTCTTTTGAATAGGATACACTAATTTTTTTTTCAATTTAGCAGGAGACATCATTATGGTATGTTAACGTCTCCAATTCAGTTAGGGAGTTAAGTTTTCTCATCTAAGTTTTTCATTTCAAATTAAAATAATTGGTATTATTACATGCGTTTTTTAAAGAATTTACTAAATGTATATTTTTGGCATATATTCTGTGTTTTTGGCCTGGGGGACAAGTATGAGTGCCCAAGATAACAAATGTAATGCAAATGTTTATATCTTTTTTCTGGTTCGGCTTCAGAAAATTCAAAACCGCCACCTAATGTAGGATTTCTTACAATTTTCTGATCTCTTCAAAGTATTGCTAATGTTCTACTTAAATCGCATTTAAAATGGCCGCCATTTTTAAATGAGTGGCCATTTTGAAAATCGCCTTTCGAGCAGAACTTCTACCCCCATAGGGTATATGTATACAAAATATGAACAAAATCAGGCCAACAGTATTTGAGTTATTGCCCAGACGGACGGAGGTGTTCCCTATATCCCTCCGAACTTCGTTCGATGGGATAACAATGGCAAAAGCAATGCAATAACATGGTTGTTCAGCAGTCTAAAAACCACTGATAAAACTTATACTGTATTTTATTTGTTTGCGAATATGATAAAAAAAACTAGAAAACTGCAACTCCACAGTCAGGGGATAGAATGGATATAACTCAAATACCATTGGCCCGATTTTGTTCATATTTTGTATACATAATATACCTACCCTATGGAGGTAGAAGTTCTGCTTGAAAGGCGATTTTCAAAATGGCCGCTCATTTAAAAGTGACTTAGTGCCGATGTTACAGTAATTTAGGTGCAATATGTAAAACTGTAATAGCAATAAGTTTTCAATGTAAAAAAATTATATAGGACATTAATAAAGCTAGAAATGTAGATATTAAAGAAGCACATGGCAGCCATTTAAAAAATGGCGGCCTTTACTCGTTATTTTACGATTTTTGCTGTAACTCGAAAAGTAGGGGAGCGATTTTGTTCATATTTGGTATGTGAATACTATAAGCACGGCACACTGTCTAATGACACTTTTGGTAGAAGGTGGCCATTTTGAAAAATGGCTGCTATTTTGCTATATTCTTTGTAAAAATACCAGCCATGGTTGTATTGTTCGATGGGATTTGCTACGCTTTGGCGTTGCTGTTGTCTAGTTTAAATTGTACGGTCTTCAAAACTGATTATATTGAATTCACACTTGCCTTCATTACAAGAATGGTAAAACTTCCCCTTTGCATTTCTGTCATGGTTTATCCACTTAACACTCCCACTCCGATTATTGCATGTTATATTTAATGATTTAAACTATATTTGCAGAATCTTGTGGAAGAAGAATGAGGTTGCCGACTATGAAGCGACAACATTCAGCATTTTCTACAACAATGCCCTATTTCTACTGTTCGTCATCATCTCATCATTCTACATCATGAGAACATTCACACCTACCATGTATCCTTTTGAAATATTAATTTTCTTTTGTGGTTTTATGAAGCCGAAAAGGTAATAGTTTACAATATTGCAACCCTCTGTCGGTTTACAATGCATAAATGAGAAAAGAGTGTTTAGAGCTCTGCATTAATACATTGTATATGATAGATTTATACATGTTTTTAGTTATGATACATGATTCACTTAACCTGTTGAAAAATCATCTGAAAATAGATTTTTTTAATTAATTTGTCGGAAAGTTACATTACCAATTTTTGTCTGGGATGAGCAGATACAATTTACAGGTTCAAAACCATAAAATATGCCATTCTATACTCAGTTATACAATAATACCATTTTTGTTGAAACATTTCAGATAAAAAAAATTCAGTTTGTTGTTTCACTGTTACTTATATGCTTCATGGCTTAAATTGAAGTAAAGGTTATCTCATGATTGAAACTAAACATATGTGTGTGTGTGCTCCTTAACCTTGCTTTCAGTAACTACATTGTGTCAATGGGGGCAGCATCAGGCCTCATTGCATTATTTTCTACCAGCAGTAAATAAACAACAGACAATTGAGCTATGCAAGACATCTACTGAATAGCTGGGACAATACTTAATACATTTTGGGACGTCAAGGATATTTGTACTTTAACATTACAATGTATGAGTATTGATACAACCTTGTGGGCCTGTGATATATTCCCTGATTAGTGTTATGGATATGGAGTAAATACAAACGCTTGAATGCAAGATATTACTGGTACATTCTTTTTGTCCTTAGTACACTAGACATTGTTTCCTAGATATGTGTAGAGTAAGTGAAGACAACAGAATCGAGATCTCTGCTAGCTAATTCCTTTCCTTATAAACTTGTCAAAATATTATTATTTATTGAAAAGAAACATGAAGAAGTGAAACATGTATTTTAATTTGTTTAATAAATGTCAGCAATACTAGCTCAATGAATGTATGTTTCTGTATAATATATAAAAAAATTAAACTATATAAAGACGTGTTATGTTCTTATTTGATAAAGTAGTATAGGTTGATAGTGAATTAACAAATACAAAGTACAGGGACACCGGATTCAAAAAATGCAACCCACCTAACAATCCATATCTTTTTAACAAGTATATTATGAAAAATCTAATGTTTCATTACTGTAGCATGCGTATTGCTTATTTGCTGGCCATATAAAGAACATGCCCCAAATTTCTACCACCTCTGCAGACAGACTTGCAACTTTGAGCGGTATTTGGATGAAACATCTGCATTCATTCATGGTAGACATGGCTCTTATCCTGAAAGATAATGTGAACGTCTACAATCCCAGAATCCTAGAACCATTTCAGACCTCAAACTAGAGATGACATGGAAGATAGGAATGTTTTCAAGTCTGTCCCATTGAGGTGGTAGCCATTTGGACTAGCACATCTTTTATATGCATTGGGCAGCAAATGGGTCGAAAAATATTTTTCAAGCTCCATTGGTAAAAAAGATAAATGCAACCTACATACCACATGTACTCTGTATTGTTAGGTATGCAGGTTGCATCTTTTCTGAAACGCCCTATATTATATACAGGGTCAAAAAGGGTAACTCAAACAAATGTTAAAAACTCTGTCATCGAACATGTATTCAAGCTTGTCTTTGTTTTGATTATTAGGAGGATTGTACATGCCAAGTATCAATGTGATTTCCAACCAATTACCACTTATAAAGTTTCTTAACTGATGGGTCCTTATACATGGATAGGGCTGCGGATGCGTAGCATACACACTTTATATGTTATAAACGGATTTTGCAGTTTCTGCAGTTAGATTCTACAAACTTATGTCTGAAAGTTCTGAATTCTGAGGGCAAATTCTGAAATCCTTTCTCTTCCATGCAAGTCCTGCCAGTGGTCACAGATCAATGTTCAAGGAAGCAATGTACAAAAATTCAGACTTTATCAAATTATGAAACGATTTGCTGAATCTTGTCTGACTATAAATTGTTTTCAGTTATCATTTCTATTAAAGCCTAGGCCTACCTAAGTGTTACATTTTTATGAAGTTTTATAGGAAAAATGGCAGAATCTTTCACAAAAAAATAATTGTGTTCTTCATTTCAATTCCTTTAAAAGACAAAAATCAAGACTGTTCACAGATAAGTTGGGGACAAGGTCGGTGTAATGGTTATGTACTGGGAGGTTTTGGATACAGGGTCCCAAAGGAGAATATGTGTATCCTCTAGCAATAATTCTGCCCAACTATAATAATATAACATAATACATAATAGCCTTATTTATTTTGTAATAGAATATATTATTAGACTGTATAAAAACATGATAAAAATTACAATGTAAAAATTGAGCAATTGTTAGAATATAAGTTAGGTTTATGTGAAGTGATTTGTATCGAACTGACTACATGCTAAGATGATTTATATGATTTAATATAAGTCAGATTTCCTGTGATATTTGTACATCTATAAAAATAATGTTCAGTAAAATGTATGTCAGTTACTATAAAAGTACAGAATATAATATACATAGTGATTAAACTCTGACCATAACATTCAGTATAGGTCGTGACAACCAGAGTCTATATAATAGGATTCCATTAACAAGGCATTGACATGCAAAATGTAACTACCTGCCATTTGTTACAGACACTGAACACCAACTGCCAACCGCCCAACACCATACACAAAAAATTGGAGACTATGTACAACAATATGTCACCTTATCTAGTGGTGACATGATAAATGCAATAACATACATACAGTATGTTAAATAACTATGCATATAATACTTTAATTATTTCTAAGTAACATACAATACTTAAATCAAGAACGTTTTTTAATCAGAACTCAAATCCTTTGATATGTATGTTTTACTTTGAATCATATTTTAAGTAGAAGTAGAAACAAAATGTGCAAATCCATCATACAGGTCAGGACATATACGTATTTATCCCACACTTAGTAGTGTTATAAGGTAAATTACATGCGGGAATATAATCTATATCTGAGGTGAGCGGGTGATACGTATATATCTCATACACTGTTAAATGTTAAAAGATGTTGAGTTTTAAAAAACAAAAATTGTTGAGGACTTTAAATTGAGATAAAATATTCATGTTTAGATTGTAATTATCGTTTTCAATTACTACATTGTTCCCTAACATTCAATGCATATTTAATTCTCATAATCTACTAAGTATAGGATAAATCAGTTATTGAATGTTCGATTTTTGATACTGGGTATTATCCCCGGTAAATACAAGATATTGTATTTCCCTCAGATATACCCTGTATCAAAAACCTCACATTAAATAACCTCTATGGAGCAAATGCCCCAATCATTGTTGTCATAAAAACAAAGAAGAATTTCCTTTCATCATAACAGTAAAAGCACCAACGATTACAACAGTTAAGCATTACCCTGTAAGTCTTAAAATTATTACTACATACAAGAAGTATCTGACAACAATATCATATAGCACCTTGATTATCTTCTTAAACTTTGTGTTTATACATACATCTGTCTAGTATACATTAAATGAGATTGCATCTTCAGTGACTCAGGAAATTCCCGAGTTACACCTATACTGCTATAGTTGGTTATACGTGAATATACATCAAAGGGGAATGGTTCTCTGCCATTTGTTTGTGAACTTTGGAAGCAACAGCCAAATAATGATTGCACTGACAAGTGGTCATGAATCCATTCAATCAATTCACAGTTCATATGATTTCAACTCAGGCCACTGTTTTGTCAGGTGAGTTGATTGTAATATGTCTTCATCAGTTGAGTTGACTTTTACAGCTGTTTTGTCTTTCTTTATCGGATGAGTTGACATTTGATTACAACAGCTACCAATCTTTGAGGTGTACATTGGGTACCCCTTCTTCCCTCGGAGGCCTTTCTTTGTTATAATGATCAGAGGGCATTTCCTGAGTGAGGTCAGACAGTTGTACATATATATTGCCCTCACGCTCTATGACACAATGAGTCCTTTGTTTGACACCAGTTGACTTCCATGGACCACGTTTTACTGGCTGATGAGGGTATGCTTCCTGAAAATATTAATTGTAAATGAATGGATTAAAATGTACATGATTTTATCGCTAATGAATGTTCAATCGTGTCTCTAAAGTAGTCACACTCAGAAAAATAGCTTCAGCTGCAATGATTTTGCTTTCAATGGTTATTGGAGTGTTTTACTGCATGGGCTTAGTGAAATCTGTTGCTACATGATATCATTAATAGGTTAGTCAATGGCTTCAGTGAATAAAGTCAGCTACCTTATGAATAGTGTGAATAAGAGTGATACATTTGTAACATATAGATAGAATCTTACGTAGCCTTCAGCCTGGACAGACAGTACTCAACCAATAAAGACAGGCATTACAGTAGTTGAAGTCAACTTATCCGATGTGAAGTCAACACACCTGATAAATACAGACAATAATGCTCTGGAAGTTGACTTGCCTGATTATAGATAGACTATACAGCTGTTATAATCAACTCACATGACACTGACAGAAACAGACAAAACACCTGATGTGGTCAACCCAACTGATATAGACAGACTATATAGCTGTTATAATCAACTCACACGACACTGACAGAGACAGACAAAACACCTGATGTGGTCAACCCAACTGATATAGACAGACTACACAGCTGTTATAATCAACTCACATGACATTGACAGAGACAGACAAAACACCTGATGTTGTCAACTCAACTGATATAGACAGACTATACAGCTGTTATAATCAACTCACACGACACTGACAGAGACAGACAAAACACCTGATGTGGTCAACCCAACTGATATAGACAGACTACACAGCTGTTATAATTAACTCACCATACTAAGACAGACAAAACAGGCGTTGCAATCAACTCACCTGATACAGAGAGGCAATACAACTGTTGTAGTCAACTCATCTGATATAGGCAACAATATGGTTATCACCTGATACAGACAATCCATCTGTTATAGTCAACTCACCTGATACAGTCAGACAATACATCTGTTATAGTCAACTCACCTGATAGAGTCAGAGAATACATCTGTTATAGTCAACTCACCTGATAGAGTCAGACAATACATCTGTAATAGTCAACTCACCTGATAGAGTCAGAGAATACATCTGTTATAGTCAACTCACCTGATAGAGTCAGACAATACTTATGTTATAGTCAACTCACCTGATATGTAGTCAGACAACACATCTGTAATAGTCAACTCACCTGATACAGTCAGACAATACATCTGTTATAGTCAACTCACCTGATAGAGTCAGAGAATACATATGTTATAGTCAACTCACCTGATACAGTCAGACAATACATCTGTAATAGTCAACTCACCTGATAGAGTCAGAGAATACATCTGTTATAGTCAACTCACCTGATAGAGTCAGACAATACTTATGTTATAGTCAACTCACCTGATATGTAGTCAGACAACACATCTGTAATAGTCAACTCACCTCTGGGTTCTCCCCAGAATCTAATTGCATGGCGCTCCCCCCTGCTCACTCGTTTTCCCCGCCCTGTTCCCCCCCTGCTTGCTTCGCCCACCCTGCTTAGCGCCCCTCTACTTCAAAACTTACGTACATTATTTTATTCTCCTGGATATTCGACGAAATCACATAAAATTCAAAAAATTTTCAAAAAGTTTTTCCCGATTTGCCATTCCGAAGGCCGAATCTTAAATGTCTTCTGATTGGCTCAAAACTCATGATTAGTTACGAAATATCCAATCAAATTATCTATTACTAATCGTGTGTCATCGACATAATCTGCCCCAGGTTCGGTTCGATTCGATCACTTGATTTGACTACGTATGCGCATGCGCCCAAAACATTCTAACCTATCAAAATCGTTCATTTGATGCGTGCGTTCAGAAAATTAGAAAAAGTTAACAGTTGAACCTGGCGCAGATTACCCCTATACTGCAACGCGGAGTGATATGATCACCGATCATCAAAATCGCCAATTTGGAATAAAACAAACATAAAAACGACTAAAACTACAATTTGACAATAAAGTATTATTTTTTATTAATAGTTATTATAATTGCGAACGAATTAATGTTCAAATCTTGCTTTTGATGGTTGTCATGATAAAGAAGTTCGACTTCCGGTTCTTTATGCGGGAAACTCAAAAAAAATGGGTAAAATTAAAAAGACTTATCTAAAGAATAGAATGAAAGTAGAAACAGTGGACAGGGTCCTCAACATTATCATAAATGGACCAAGGGAAGAGGTGTTCGATTTTGAGGCAGCATGGGGGAGGTGGTTTGACATGCACCCCAGAAGATGTAGGGACAGAAGACTTTAAGGAAACACAATGAACAATGAATACTCATGACACTACAAGCATATTATCATGTATTGTTAAATAAAAGGTTTTCTAAATGAGAATTGGTGTTTATATAGCGAGCGAAGCGAGCGGCAAAAATTGGCACAAAAATCATGCGAGCGAAGCGAGCGGCGAAACTTGTTAAAAAATCCCCCCCTGCTATGGAAAAATCCTGGGGAGATCACTGCACCTGATAGTCAGACAATACATCTGTTATAGTCAACTCATCTGATACAGTCAGACAATACATCTGTAATACTCAACTCACCTGGTAAGTCAGACAATACATCTGTTATAGTCAACTCACCTGATACAGTCAGACAATACATCTGTTATAGTCAACTCACCTGATAGTCAGACAATACATCTGTTATAGTCAACTCACCTGATAGTCAGACAATACATCTGTTATAGTCAACTCACCTGATAGAGTCAGACAATACTTATGTTATAGTCAACTCACCTGATAGTCAGACAATACATCTGTTATAGTCAACTCACCTGATAGTCAGACAATACATCTGTTGTAGTCAACTCACCTGATAGTCAGACAATACATCTGTTATAGTCAACTCACCTGATAGTCAGACAATACATCTGTTATAGTCAACTCACCTGATAGTCAGACAATACATCTGTTATAGTCAACTCACCTGATAGTCAGACAATACATCTGTTATAGTCAACTCACCTGATAGTCAGACAATACATCTGTTGTAGTCAACTCATCTGATACAGTTAGACAATACAGCTGTTATAGTCAACTCACCTGATAGTCAGACAATACATCTGTTATAGTCAACTCACCTGATACAGTCAGACAATACATCTGTTATAGTCAACTCACCTGATAGTCAGACAATACATCTGTTATAGTCAACTCACCTGATAGTCAGACAATACATCTGTTATAGTCAACTCACCTGATAGTCAGACAATACATCTGTTATAGTCAACTCACCTGATAGTCAGACAATACATTTGTTATAGTCAACTCACCTGATATACGCTCTCCCCAGTTTGCAGACAAATCTTGTATCTGTGCCAAGGACAAACAATACAGCTACTAAAGTTTGGAACATCCTGAAAAAAAAATTGTTACTTTTCTGATAGAGAAATAAATGAGAAGTGAGGTGGTGGCAGAGAGACCTACACATTTTCACATTTTTCTCGGAATTATGAAGGGAGCTTAAGGAGCTTGAATCACCATAAATAAATAAATAAACTTTGTCCCTCTTGTATTTAAAATTAGAATATTCGAAATTAAGAATTAACTCCAGCATGAATTCAACATATTGTATTGGTGGGTCTACGTTACATAGATTCCATTTCTATATGACATCTAAGCCACTTAAAGATAAAAGTGTATTTTACTTGAGGAAATCTGATACATGGGTTGAATATTTGATCTGAAATTTAAATCCTAATCTGAGAGTTGAATTCTAATTTCATCTGATTTGATCAAAACATCTCAATGTTTTTCATATTTTTGACAGCTTGCAAACATTATGTATGTATGCATCTTTTATTCCCGATTTCAAATCAGTTCATCACTCAGTTTCACCAATTCTTGAGAGATTGCAGAGTAAATCTTTAAGCACACATATCAAATTTTGCAGAAAACTTACCTCTATGTCACCTTTGTGGAGAGGACCACCACTGTCTGGAATAGTGTAATAAAACACATTAAATAGAAAAATTATATTAGATTACAAGAATGAAGGTGTTCCCAGGTTGACAGGCCTGTCATTACCACTCTTGAGAGACTACATGTTTCGTTTTCTTGAGAGAACATATCTTTTCTCATCAAATATTATTTTGCTCCCACAAGGGAATGGTAAATGAATGAGTTTTTGTGATTATGGTATAACATAGGCATAAAAAAACTGTTAATTGGAAGATGGCAGTCTAATCAACTTTTTAGATACATGTATGGCCAAACCCTAAACCTTTAGAGATGACAGATTAAATCCTGTCTCTTGCTTACCAACTTCATTGTCCGAATTTTCATACGAATATCACATGTCGTTGTGATGTTTATTTGATTTTAGCACATTCCTAACGTCTTTCTTTATAATGATGTGAAATAATAAGCTATGATATTGGTGAACATACCAGAAATTAACATAATTATAAATTCAATGTTTTTGGAAAATTTTGAAACGGCCATTGAGTGACATCATTTTTCTGTCAATTTGACTAATCAGCGATGATGTCTTAATACACATTTACATTATAGACATATGTCTTCTCTGAGTCTAAGGTAATATAACCCAAACAACATACTACATACTAAATGTGATATCTATACCATGCTGCTTCAACCAGGCACTGGCAAACCTGATTTCATGATTGATCATGTTTATTTTGCGATGCTTTTTCTATCTTTAAAAACTAATAAACAAGTGAGAAAAGAAAACAAATTGATTATCATATTTTTTCTAACTGTTATACTTACGGTAACATTTACTATCTAAAGCAAAGAATTTCCCCTTTTTGTGAACAAATAAAATATTTCTTCCATCTATCTTGATCTGTCGCTTTACTCCAATAAGGTCAGACTTTCTTCCAACTAAGTTGGCATTCTAAAATAAAGAATAAAAGTTAACATACAGTGGGGGACAAAAATAAAACTCAACGTTCACAAGTTGTCACAATGAGCTAATTTCCAAGTTTCGTGTCTCAAACTCTCCCAAGCGGTAGAAAAATAATTCCCGTTCACTAAAGTAGCACAATAAATGAATCCAAAGCTTCATACCTGCAAATAATGGATAAATCCCTACCAAATCGAATGAATGTTTTCATGAATCGCCATGTTTGTTATCCAAGGACGGTTGACTCCCAGCATGCAACATCAGTTAACCGTATTTACTCATGACAGGTTTCAAAATGGCGGAACAGCATTTTGAAAGCTGGCACGTGTCATGTTGCATTCTGGGAGCCAATCCTCCTTTCCGGCACAATCGGGCGACGAAATCACCTCAATATTTGAATAGTCGGCATAACATGTGAATATCCACTTCAACTTTTGAAGTTCTTATTTGTCATTAGGGACACAAATTCCACTATATTTGGACTTACTACGACGGAGAAAATAGAGCACTGAATACACTGAGGTAAGAATTTATTACATGTGCGACAGCATGTAATTTTCATAGCTTTTGCAATTCTTTATGATCCCCACTGTATCCAAAATAATATGAGTGCCTCCATATATCAATATGCATTAGCAATATAATCAACATTGAACTATAAGAAGGTATCAAACATGAACCAATTTTGAACCCAGCATGGAGGATTTACCCCGGTACCCGGTTCCCGGTTTTTTCTACAAACCCGCACATTATACATAACTATCTGAAATATACAAAAGTTAGGACTTGTACATGTTTTTATTTTTTATATGATGTTGCAATATAGTCATTTGTTTGCTTATCTTTTAAATTCAAAGTACTTCCAAACATTTTTTCCAGAACCCGGAAGTAATCTAGATCTAAACCACAAATATTTACAATAATGAAATGTAAGTGATTTCTACAACATAAACCATACTTATGCAAGACTTCATTTATTCAAATTATGTTTACATTGGTCTTAGCTTGATTGGCAGTGTTTTCAATCAGAATATCATGACAGAATGATGCAAATACCTGGTCAACATTTTCTAAAGACTTTTCTTCAGCCATCTTGTTTTGTCTTAGTCAGTGTGATTCCCGCACCTCATTGTTTTGCGGCAGGTCCTGGCCGTGCAGTCCAAAGCATGGCAAGTATGCCATTTCGAGTTAATTCTATGTCTGTGTCTATGTCAATAATCAGCAAAAGGCTAATAAGCCCATATAAAGCAGATATATAATTTAACAGAGATAGAATTTGAATAGAATATAATATTTAAAAGCTTTGTCTATGTCGATAATATGCAAAAGACTAATAAGCCCATAAAGCAGATATATAATTTAACAGTGATAGAATTTGAATAGAATATAATTTAAAACCTTAACATTTAAAAATAGATCTATGGTTTACAACTCATTTTAAAATTGAAAGGACCTTCCTAGTTGGCCCCTGTACCCCCTAGGAAGTCCCTTTATGTTGAAATACCCTGGGGCGACTGTCAGGCTACAGCATTGACATCTTCCCTCTTTACCAGTAGTGCAGGCTTGTTGCTGTGCACTGGGGACCTTTTACATTAAAAACCTGAACATTTAAAAATGTAGTAACCTTAACATTTAAAAATAGATCTATGGTTTACAACTCATTTTAAAATTGAAAGGAACCTTCCTGGTTGGCCCCTGTACCCCCCCCCCCCCCTAGGAAGTCCCTTTATGTTGAAATACCTGGTTGGTATTGATCTGTTGGCGGAAGTATGGAGGCACATCGATGGCGGGTGTCAACTTTTGGCTTGCAACCGGAGATACCTCAAGAGATTGCCGAAGATTTTCTTTGCAAACGAAGTTGGCTGAGGGTACCACTTATGTGAAGAGGACGTCTATAATTGGTCGGTCAAAAAGAGAGGCTCGGCATTCTCCATCAGATTGAATCGGCAAAATTCAGTTGTATGGCTTACCTTCGGCTGTATGGCTTATCTTCGGCTGCATGGCCCAACCTCGATTGAATGGAAAAGTTGCTGTCCACATCGATGGCTGCTTGGTTCTGCTTTCCTTTGTAAAAAAGGAAAACTCAGTAGTAAGGATCAAAGCTAAAATATCTGATCAATTAAAAATATTCCAGTCGGTGGCATGCTTAGTTGTTTGGTTGGTTGACAGTTAAGTTGGTGATTTGTCAATCACTTGCTTACTTAGTTGTATGGTTGGTTGCTTTTCTGATTGATTGCTTGGTTTGTTATTTGGTAAGGTGGTCGGTTGATTTGTTGGTTGGTCGCTTTCGGCTTGTTGCTTGACTCTTTGCTTGGTTTATTTGCTGATTGGTTTTACCGTTGATAAATTGGTGCTTGGTTGGCTGATTTTGGGGTTAGTAGCTTTATGTAGCCTATTTTGGCAATTGCTTGGAATAGTTTTCTGGTTGGTTGTTTAATTTTTTGCATGGTTTGGCGATTGCTTGTTTGATTGGTTGGTTTGTTGAGTGGTTGTTTTCTTTGATTGGCTCGGTGGTTGGCATCCAGAAGTGTCAGAGCATTTAGGCACCTCACCACTAAGGTGAGAATATGTCATTGATTCCTCAATTTGTTTTTACATGTTTAGACTCAATGAAACGCATTTATCCATTGAGCATATTGAGGACTTGGGCTCGGGATATGTGCGAGGAAATTGAATTTATTTTTTGCACATGCGCACTGAATCTTCTTCCGCCATGAATTCTTTGTTTCACGTTCTGTTGTAAACAAATCAAAATACACATGTTTCAAGGATAAAACGTAAGTATTCAAGCACAAACGTCATTTCTTCGTTATCCATTGCATTTACTTGTATTAGAAATGTACAGAATAAATCTGGTTGTACACTGTAAAGCAATCATTTTACGGCTCAATTTTATTTTATTTTTTCATTTTCATGACTGATTCACCTTTGTTTTGATTTATTGCAGAAAACACTGTACGTAATTAATTATAAGCATATGTTGTGTGTATTTAGATTACAGCAACAAAATGATGGAAGACATGGAGGTGGCACGTGAAGTTATAATTCGCGATGTCAAACCAAGTCGTGCAAGTCCATCAACCTCTCCTCCTTTGGAAAAACATACAGCTGAAGAAGTATCAGCAGCTGTTAGTGCAGCTGTATCGGCTGTAGCGAATACTTCATCAGCAGAGAAACCGTTTTATGAATGTACACTTTGTAACAAAAGATTTGGCTACAAGAATGGACTTATACGTCATGTCAGACTGACCCATGTTGGAGAAAAGCCATATGTGTGCAATATTTGCAATAGGAGGTGAGTCCATCTTTATACTATACTTCTGAGATTTTTTGGAAATTGGCTGAAAGGGGCAAACTATAGCCAATGTATGTTAAAATTTGGTTTTCAAAAACATTTGTTTACTATTCAAAATGGCCAATGTTGGTACTAATTTGCATATTTGTTACTTTCCCTAGCTTTATTTCTATTTGGCAATATGTTGTATTTATAGCATTAAGTTGTAGCTTGCTCAGTGTTTTTCCTAAGCGTCGGACCATCGGACAAATCCGGCGATGTTGACTGATGTGTAATTTCAACCAGTCAGTCCACAAGACTGTCCATGTCCGATGGCTAAGATATGCACCAAATTCTTACCTCAAATATTGGTCCGATCTACATGTATATCTATGTCTTTATTATCCCATTGAACGAAGTTCTGAGGGATATAGGGAACGCCTCCTTCCGTCTGTCCGTATGTACGTCCGTCCGGGCAATAACTCAAATACCATAGGCCCGATTTTGCTCATATATATGGGGGTAGAAGTTCTGCTCTAATGCCAATTTTCAAAATGGCTAGGTGCAATATGTAAAACTGTAATGGCAATATGTTTTAAATGTAGTGGAGCGATTTTGTTCATATTTGGTATGTGAATACTATAAGCATGGCACACTGTCTAATGACACTTTTGGTAGAAGGTGGCCACTTTGAAAAATAGCTGCCATTTTTGTTATATACTTTGTTTGTAAAAATGCCAGCCATGGCTGTTTGATGGGATCTGCTACGCTTAGGCGTTGCTGTTGTCTAGTTCAAGATTGTACTCATCATCGCATTGAAACTCTTGAGAACTGACAAAATTTTACAAAAGTTTCAGATCTTTCAGATTTTAAAATTTCTTAGAGAATAAAGGAAATACTGTAAAGTAGCCTCATATGTTATTATCCCAACGAACGAAGTTCGGTAGGGATATAGTGAAGCCGTCCGTCAGTCAGTCCGTCCGTCTGGAAGAAAACTCAAATATTAGTTGACAGATTTTCTTCATATTTTGTGGAAAGATGTATATTGATCAATAGTTTTAAGCAAAAAAATTTTTTTTCAAGATGGCCACCACTTTAAAAATGATAGCACTTTTTCGCAAAAATCATAAATTTTTCATTCTAAACCAAAGTAATTAATATTATTGTTTGAAATTTTGGTAGTATATTCGCAACATCTATCTATTTCACATATATTCCGTGTTTTTCATCCTGACCCCCAGGGGCTGTATATGGGGTGTCAGGAAAACAGAAATTTTCGCTAATTTTTAGATCTTTCTGAAGTATAGCTTAGCTATATAATACTCAAATTGAAGGAATTTTGGAGTAGATCACAATTATGGTATTATTTTTCAGATTTGTACCTCAGGAAATTCAAAATGGCTGCTTTGCAAGAATTCGCAATTCTAAAATCTAAATTTTTCAATTTTAACCAAAGTAATGAGTATAATTGATTGGAATTCGGTAATTGATATTTTGTTCGTTGGGATTTGCTACTCCGTAGAGTTGCCGTTATCTAGTTTACAGTAAGGCCAGCCTACCAGTAGACTGAGTAGACGCAATTTGTTCTTCTGTGTTTCAATATCATTGTACTAGAGACAACAAATCATAAGGATTAAGAATTTTAAAAGTTTGTTCAGCTAAGTGTCAGATATGAAATACTCATATACATGTATTACAGTGATCTCCCCAGCATTAAAGCAAGTAGGCGCTGAACCCACTTGGGATTTTAAAAATAGGCTTGCACCCATCTGTGAATCCATTTGCACCTACTCGAAAATAACAAAAGTCATCAAAATGGGCATATTTAGATCAAGTTTGGTCTAAATTATGAAATCAAGAATTTTGCACCAAAATCCTTGGGAGAATATTTGTAGATTTCTTTGAAAAACTAAGAAATATACATCACATATTGAATTTTTCAAATCAGAAAAAACATGTATAAAAAGTAAACCCTGGATGTCCGATTCCCCCTGGTAGCATTAACACTGGTCTAGTATAAGTCATACAATTAATATTTGAACCGCAACTATTATTCAAACGTATGATCGGACATAAGTATGATGTGTACTTCAAGGTAATAAAGTAACATCATACTTATGTCCGATCATAAGTTCAAATATTAGTTGGGTTTAAGATATTAATTGTATGACATGCATGAGACCAATGTTAATTCTACCAACCAAGAAGAATCCGACCTGCATGCCTTACTATTTATACATGTTTTTTTCTGTTTTGAGAAATTGGATATGTGACAGTTCGTTTCGTTTGTATCTTTACATCGTAATTTCAATCACCGCCATCACTTTTGAGATGAGTTACATTGAAATATCAAGACGTCATGCTATTCTCATCCTTACAGAACTCAATGTGACTGTCATTGAATATGTTAAAGCAGTAAAAAATTGATTTGCTTCATGGGTGACAAAATATTTCTACTTTCCTGGTGAATGTTGAGTCTCGCATCATACAAATGTAATTTTAGGCAATCTGTCTGCATGGGGTGTATCTCTTTTATACTCATATGTCAAGCTCTTAATATATGTACTGTTATAGGTTTGGCTACAAGCATATCTTAATGGAGCATCAGAATTTACATTTTGGCAATAGGCCGTATGCTTGCAACCTGTGTGACAAGAAGTTTGCAGCCAGGTCGAATCTCATCCAGCACCGTCTGGTCCACAAAAAACCATTCCATTGCAGCGTTTGTGGGAAAAGGTAAATTCTAGATAAATAAATTAGTGAGACAATTTTGAGGCAGCATCTTATATTCATTCAATTGCAACTAAACTTGGTATATATATCCCCTTGGGAATAGAGTATTGAATGAACATACTCATTAATTTTTAATTATTCTTTAGAGATAAAAATAAAAAGTAGATCTAAATGATGTGGTAGGGAGGGTTTTTTCTACCTAAACAACATTTTACCTCCCCAAGTCCTAAACATATGACATTGAACTCATGAATATTGTTACAGTGGTCTTCAAGCCTTCAAGTTGTGAAATTCATTTTTATTTTATAATCACTGCATAGTTTGTTTTTTATTATAATGTGGCATCATTCCAACTATGTATGCAATTGCTAGTGAAATGGTGTAGTTATTGCATACAATATATGATAAAATATGTTTGTTACATATTGCGAACTTATTACTATCATGGGCTTTCAACTAGAATTGAAAGCCCATGTTACTATTGACTATCTTGTACATTATATTCATTTTTCAGTGCAACTAAGAAAGACATGCGGACAAAGAATGGAGACACAAACACATGTACATCATGCTCCAAGACACTCAAGTAAGCACATATACTTTTTTATGTCACTTTCACAAATGGTAACATATTGTTAAAGTCTTCCAACTTTTTTTGGGTGGCATTCAGCGTCTGTAACAAATGGCAGGTGATGGCATTTTGCATGTGAATGCTTTGTTGTATTTATAGCATTATGCAATAATAATGCATAATGCAAAATCACCAGATATGTCTCCTTAAATACACTCATGCAACTTATATCATGCCTCATTAGGTCACCACCAGAACTGGTGACATATTGTTACAGTGTCCAACTTCTTAATGGATACCCTGTGCGCAGTCTAGTTATAAACTACCCTCTTCCTAGTATAGACAATATTACAGTTTAGCAGTCCTGCCCCGAAGATTGGTGCCTTTGACAGCCTGGGTAAGAAATCATTTTAAATTCACCATGCTGACCCTTTCTCAACCAATCAGCCAAGAGGGAGGAACATGTGCTAAATAAGTGCTCATGCGGGGTGTCAGAGAAAATGACCTTATAGAAAGTCGTCTTTATTTCGACGATGAACTCTGATTGGCTTGGTGAGATCAGAGATTTATTGTAAACTGAAAGAGTGAAGACGAAGCTCTCTTTTGAGAAGTGAAGTCAAAAGAATGCAAAGGGTATTTAATGGACGGTGTTCGGTGGCATCTGTAATGCCTTAAAGATGTTTACAATTTGATTATTGTTCTATTTGTGAGTAAACTGTTGTCTTACTATTGGTTGTTAGTCTGATACATTATAGTTTCAGATGGACGAATTGAATTATCATGTTGGATGCTTTAATGTCTTTAAGAGTATTATTCTATCTATCTTATTCAAGTCAGGGCCATTGATCAAATGAAATCAACTTATATTTCAATAGCTTTCATTTGATACTCCTAATCAATATTACCTGAGAAAGCATTGAACAGTATTACTAGCTATATGGACATTATAATGTATAATGGACTTACAGTAGATTATTTACCTTTTCTTTTCTGTTTTGAATCTTATTTTACAAATATGTAATAATGTATATTACTATTTACAATTACTGACTCTTTACGTTCCTGGAATTGTGTCGATTCTGTTTTTCCAATACTTTAGCGGGTCTTATTTCAAATTGCATATCATATTTTTATTATTTGCCATTTTCTCTGTATTCCATTTCGAAAATTAATATGTTACAATACAACATACAGCTGAACAGTAGTTGAGTACATAGTTATGTTTTATATTCAAGATGTATGTTTTCCTATACAAAAGTTCATTTTTGATTTATGAATATTATTTCTGTTTTTTCTTTTCTAATGCATTTACTGAGGAATTATGACTGATATGATTACAAATCAATATGTCAGAGAATTAAATATTATCATTGAAGTAATTTGCAATTGAAATAATATCACAGATAATCATCACCATTGTGGAATTTTTGTATCGGTTCACTTATTTTATTGATTTTTTGCATAGCAATAGAAAACCATTATATTAATCTTGAACTACAGGAAAACTTTAATGCATCAATAGATATGGTTGGCCACATAGAACCCTTGCAAACTATTTAAATAATCAATTTAAATAAAATATTAGAGCTTACCGTATTCTGTCTAATGAGCACACAGTTCCAATGAGTGGACATGCGACTTTTACATAATGATGTTATCTCATGAAAATTCAATATTGACTTTCCAGCAAAGAATGCTTTACTCCTTTTTCAACAGGACTTCAAGCTTTTTGATATCTTTTTGCCGTTTATCAAAACATTTCCCTGTCACTTTGCCTGTAATTTATCCATGTGCGCTTATTAGAATCTTTCAATATCTTTTCCCTTTTAAATTTCAAAAGCTTATTTTCGAAGAGCACTGTGTGTTCATTAGAGCGAATATGGTCTAACACAAGAAAGTAAATTGTTGTTTTGATAGTGTGTTGTGACCTGAAATGTGACCTTTGTGAATTATTTCTTTATTTGTTAGCAATGAAATAGTCCAATTCTTGTTACATTATGGTTGGTTATGTATGAATAGCTCATCGTTTTTTTTTTTTTTTTTTTTTATTATTTCCTAATGCAAGATACAAGTATACAAATAACATAATACAATACTAGCAACAGCAACAGGTTGTTTAACACTTACATTTTTCTAATCAATATTTCAAAGTTAGATAAAAACTCCAAATTTGGATGGTTTCCCTTTTTGTATTTGCTTATAACATTATGTGCCACTGAAATAACTACATTAATTTTTTGATCCTTTGTCCCTATCAATTTTTCTGTTGGACTAAGATCAATATTTTTGTTAAATTTATCTTGACAATATTTTTTCACCAATTCCCAAACCTGTTTAATATGTGGACACTCAACAAAGAAATGCTTGTATGTGTCTCTTAATTTACATTTTTCACATTCATTATCATCTTTCTTTTTCATCTTATACAGTAGTTCATTCGTTGGGTATATTTTAAAAATTATCTTATAATAAAGGGACCTAAGTCTTGGCTCCTTCAGACATTGAACTGTTCTAAATAACAATTTCATATCTATATCACCCTCTTCCCTCCATTTTCCAGGAATATTAGGTAGTTCTGTTTGATTTTTGATTATTATATTTTTATAGTCTTTTAATTTTGCTGTTGCTATAACAATATTATTATACATATTTTCATTGCTTTTGCGAACAATGGTTTTATTATACAATAAAATTGTAAAAATCTTTAAGATTTTAACAAATTATATTGCATTCTTAACTCTGGTCTTGGGCCTATGACATTTAAAATTTCCTCAAACTCCTTTATTTTATCATTTTCATCAATAATCTGTCTAAGTTTCTTTATACCCCTTTTGACCCATTCTTCAAAATATATAACCTTTCTACCATATCTCAAACTGTGGTTATTCCATAATATATCTTCATTGTTTAATTCATTATGTAAATCTTTATTGTCTAACCATTGTTTAACAAGTTCAACATAAAATGATGGCATTTCATCCTGTTTTAATTTTGGTTTCAAATCTGCATATTTTATATTGTAATCAAATATATCTACATGTCCCATTCTTTTTATAAAGTAAAGGAACATATGCTTCCAGCTTGACTCATAATTTTTTACATTTTTTATACGTGATACCCAGACCAATAGTGCAGCACTTTGCACAGAAAAAATGTCAACCATATTTAACCCACCATTTACAATGCTTTGCTCATCATTTGATTTATATTCCTTTTTTCTATCTGATAAACAAAAATACATCAAAATCAAAATAGACCTTATTTAATTGATCATAAGCTTTTGAGGAATCCTCTGAAAAATATCAACTCTATCACTCGGGAATCCCATCTGGTGTTTGTTGCTTTACTTCAACATTACTTAAATATGATAGATAGATTTTTGGCACACCCCGTACGTTCAGCGAAATATTGAAAACATCCTCTAAAGTAGAAATAAAAACTGTTGAAAACGTAAGATCAACATGTACCTAAATATAGTACAACCAATGTTATGATGATTTGTTGACAAAGTTCTAAATATTATTATGTTGTCAGTTTATTTGACGTTGCTATTGGAAATAAGGTTAATGTCATTCATCATTTCTATTCAATGTATGATACACATATATATCATATTGTGGTCATGCATTATTCTCATAGCTAACAACATAGCAACCATATTTTCCGTAGTTATGTGTCTACATGTGCAGGATCTACACAATACATGTTCTTAAAGCTTTCATTATAACAGAACTGGTGCTCGTTCTAAGGGTTTGAGAGTTGCTGGGGGAAGTATAAAGTGACCTAGCACTGCAATCATTTGATCTGAGCCCTAAACAGAAAATTCATTTAGCTGCATCTTTATTGAATGATAAGCATTATTTATGTTATTATCAGTTTAAAAGCTAAAAGCACAACAGTTGCACCTAAACATAAAACACGGTGTATAACCCAAACGCTCCTACATGCACGACGGAGCGTTTCATTTACGCGGAAACGCTCCGGAGCGAAATAAAATGGCGGCTAATGAAGATTCCACTATGACCGTAAGTATTGTTTCTCTCGTTTCTCTTACATATCATATGTTATGGTGAAATATTATGTACCATTCGATGAACAATACCGTGAGCAAAGATCTTATTTATTCAACTTCTGGTGGTAAACTGTTATTTGCTTGATCAAAGCTCCGTAGTGTAGATCGAACGAATCTGAAGATGACGATTTGATCACAAATTACGAATTAAATTAGTATTTCTATGAAAACGTGAATATTTCTGTTAAAGTAGTAGATCACAAACTCGTATATTCTCATTTCTTAAAATCCCAGTCCAAATCCATTACTTGTTCTCAAGAAATCGCTTGTTTTCCTCGAAACGCTCCGTCGATTTAGAACACAATTTTAGAAACGCTCTTACCATTTTCTTTTGATATCATTTTCAGATTATTAGAGAAGAGTTCCGAATGGAATCTATCTCTTAAAAACGTGTTGTACTTGTTAGGCAAATTGAAACATCTGAACCTGGTGGTGCTAAACGTGCAACAAGCTGATTTAAGCCTACATTAGATGATGGTATGCCTACATGTGTGCTAGATCATAAAACTATAGAAAAAAACGAAAATTTATATGTGAATTAATCTTCTTTTGATGCCAAGGGGTATAATATATCTTAATTCCCTTCTCTTCCTGAAAAGGAAAGGCAAGCTATATATTTCCTAAACAGATCTAGACTACCGGAGCGTTTCCAGTTCACTGTGTTAACCAGATCGGAGCGTTTCTTGAATATGAGAATGTCATCATTTTTAAGACTGGATTTTCGGTCATCAAATCACTATTACGATAATGTATGGTGCGTTGAAGTATTGGAATTTGACTAAAATATACGTTGGTGCTCTAATCTTGGCTCAACTATCACATGTATCGACAAAATGGGTTTTGACCGGTAGAATGACAAATACGTTTTTGGATTTTGATAACTATACTGCTTCGTACAGCTCTTCCTAATCGCTTCAAACGTCAACAGCCAGCCAAGTACAACATGAATATCACACCCATCGAATGGTATACTCGAAATATGTAACTCATACCTCTTATTCCCATTATTGGGGAAATCGTCAGACGGCTCATCATTCCCGCCAGCCAGTTTTCCTACTCCGGAGCGTTTCTTTGTTTAATTTCAGTAATGAAATGCTCCGTCGTGCATGTAGGAGCGTTTGGGTTATACACCGTGTAAAACCAGGTGATCAGTTTTTTATGTCACCACCACATGATGGATGGTGTTTGGTGGATGGTGTTCGATGGTTGATGTTAGGTGGTTGGCATTTTTTTTTAAGGTTAAGTTTTATTTATTTGCAATAAGATTTTACACTTGTTAACATACTAGGAAGGCCTAGGTAAAACATTACATTATTGGCCTCCCTTATATAAAATTTGCAAATTAACATATATTTATAACGGTTCTCAAAACATGTGTCCTGTCTTTTGTAAGTGTTACATAGTCCTTATGGGAAATGTGGTTGGCATCTGTAATAAATGTCAGGTGGTGACATTTTGCATTTTAAATGCCTTTTTTGTTTGCTTCACTCTTTTAAACATTTCCAAAATATGTAGAATTGATTGACAAAACTAAAAACAAAAAATGTTTTTGGGTTAAAGAGACAGGTAGTAATAAATAAACATTTAATTTGAGGGGGCTTTACAATACTATCTGAAGTCTAATGGATGGCTTAAGTTCACACAACTATGATAATATTACCTTGATATTTACTTCAATAATTACCTCAGCAGTAGACAGTAATTTACATCATGCATTTGTTTTTACCTGAACACATTGTTAAATGTCAATTATTTATCAGCCTCCTCATGAAAGCATGCTTTATGTTGTGAATATTGCGTTCATCAAAGCAATCATTATGAGCTGTTTGATGGAAGATAATCAATTGTGCATACAGTAAAACTTGTTTAATAGATACATTACTGGAACTGATTAAAAGTGTTTGGATGAGGTTGTGTTCGCATTTTGAGTTTTTTTGTCGTACACTGACATAGTGAGCCTTTGGGATCAACTGCTCATTTCTCTCTATGTCCATTCATTCCTCAATTTTAGGACAATTGAAAACTGTCTAATGTCTGAATTAATGCTCATATCCATTTTCTTTGGTCTTTTCTGGTAATTTACTCCATTGGCCTTTATCCTACCTATGTCAGGATTCTGAGTAATCACCTTTTTTGTCATCAAAAAATCATGTTTTTCACCATATGTAGACAATTGAACCAACCGAATCGTGCCATTTTCATATTTGTTTGATTTTAAACTGTTTAATTGTTCAAAGATGTTCAAATTTGGAAGTGTTCATTCTTTGTCTTTTAACATCCACTCCCCCGTGAGTCAATGGAAGGAATATGGAAAATCTGTTCCAATTGGAAATTGTTTGGATTAATTAAAGCAGTGTTTGGATATATATATGCAGTACATGTTCTGCAGTATCTATTTATTGCTCAAAAAGTAATACCTTGCAATCAGCCTGTGCTGTTAGATGTGAGTGGGTGCTATTACGCACATAGCCATATATAATTTCATTTAAACAATATGTCATTCTATCAGCCAAATGATAACATGATAATAGATGTACAGGTATAATGATTCCATGATTAATGCATTTATTTGATAATACTTCAGGCTATTGAAATAATAAGTTGAATCATTCAGTCAGGTTCCATTGGCAGTATATTTTACAATAAAAGAATGATTATCAGACATTCCCTTTCTCTATATTGCTGCTGGGTCCATAGTAAACATTATGGTAGCATATAAGTCAATAGTGATCTTATGCTTTATGTTCGCAATTAGACCTTTAGTGACCATTATGGTAGAAATTAGATCTGTAGTGACTGCTATGGTAGCAATTGGATCTGTATTGACCATTATGGTAGCAATTAGATCTTAGTGACCATTATGGTAGCAATTAGATCTATAATGACCATTATGGTAGCAATTAGATATGTAGTGACCATTATGGTAACAATTGGGTCTATAATGACCATTATGGTAGCAATTGGATCTATATTGACCATTATGGTACCAATTTGATCTGTAGTGACCTTTATGGTAACAATTGGGTCTATAATGACCATTATGGTACCAATTTGATCTGTAGTAACCATTATGGTAACAATTGGGCCTATAATGACCATTAATGACCATTATGGTAGAAATTGAATCTATAGTGACCATTATGGTAGCAATTTGATCTGTAGTGACCATTATGGTAAAAATTGGTTCTATAGTGATCATTATGGTAGCAATTTGATCTGTAGTGACCATTATGGTAAAAATTGGTTCTATAGTGATCATTATGGTAGCAATTGGATGTTTAAGGACCTTTATGGTACCATTTGGATCTATAATGACCATTATGGTAACAATTGGATCTATAGTGACCATTATGGTAACAATTGAATCTATAGTGACCATTATGGTAGCAATTTGATCTGTAGTGACCATTATGGTAAAAATTGGTTCTATAGTGATCATTATGGTAGCAATTGGATCTTTAAGGACCTTTATGGTAGCAGTTAGATCTTTAATGACCATCATGGTAGCAATTGAATCTATAGTGACCATTATGGTAGCAATTTGATCTGTAGTCACCATTATGGTAAAAATTGGTTCTATAGTGATCATTATGGTAGCAATTGGATCTATAAGGACCTTTATGGTAGCAATTGGATCTATAATGACCATTATGGTAGCAATTTGATCTGTAGTAACCATTATGGTAGCAATTGAGTCTAACAAAAATAAGTTATTTCACCCTCATTGCAGACTTGATATGAAGGAGGAGGAGGTGATGAAACGCCACCTGTTCAATGAGCCTCAACCTATGTTGTGTTGTAACTTCTGCAAGTACAGTACACAGAATGCTACAGACCTTAACAGACATCTCATAGATCTACATGCGCCACAGGTAACCCAGATTTAGAGTAATCAAAGATGAGTTTTGGCACTAAGAAAATATTACGCCCAATAAACAATATCAACCTTTTGTAACTAAAAGTCAAAATATGAGTTTCCTGGAATGTATTATTTTAAATGATATGTCAACTCTCAAAAACAAATTTTGTTTGGAGAGTGCTATTGATGCACTTCTAGTGGATTAAACCAGGGTATAGCCCACAAGATCCTACATCTACCTGTGCTTAACAGTCGCATAATGTTGGCTATTTTAATCATTAAGTGTCCCTAATTAAATCATCATTCATCTAATTAAATCATCATTATTTAAGATTATTGCATGGCTAAATATTTAGATTTTCTGTTTTCCACTTTAGAAAGTGTAATATGATAATTATTATGATTTAATTCAGATATTAGATACCCGTGACAAGCGCAGGGCAAGTGTGGAGCAGACGATTATAGCAGAAGATAGCTGTACTCAGATAGCCAGTCCTTCTGGGATACCTCACGACATAGTTGATGGCTCTGGTGGCTCGCCAGTACCAGACCACAGCCTGCCTGAGAATCTCTCTATGTCCATTGTAGCTAGCCCAACCACCACCACTATGCTACCCCCTGTGGACAGTATGACACAGCATCAGAAGAGTGTCATAATAAAGAAAGAAAGAGCAGAGTCGAGGGAAAGTCAAGGGGAAGCTAATTGTGAAATCTCAACCACAAATGGGCGAGGTATTGAAGATAGGGGCAGTGGCCGGAGTCCCAGGAGTCATTCCAGTAGCATTAGTCCAATTAGTCCTCAACCAGGACCTGGCCAAGCCAGGCAAATGTTGAGTCCCGATCAGAAGAATATGCCACTGCCATCTATTGATGAAGCTTTCCCGCGAAGACCACGTCACTACAGTCCCATATCTATACCAGGTGTTCCCGGTGCACGGTTCATGACCCCTCTTGATATCCATACAGGATTCCTGACCCCCAACTCTGACAGTGTCCCCCATACATCCGCCATAACGAATCTCCTCAGTCAGGGCCAATCATTATTCGCAAGCCATGCTACGCTTTTTAGTCCCACTACACAAGCCCAAATGAGAGAAATCTCAGTTCAGCACAACTCCCCAATTCCTGGTTACCCAGATCTTGAGGAAGTTATCTCCTATTATGTTACACAGGGTCGGTTATTCAGATGTGTCCACTGCGATATTCTATTCTACGAGCGAGGCATGTATTTCTTGCATCTCTCTCTGCATGGCACAACCAGCCCATGGGAGTGTAGCATATGTCATAAGGTGTGTTCAGACAAGAATGAGTTTACGCTACATTTTGTAAACCAACAACACACCTAATTTTTCAGTATATTGACTGATATTATTTTCTCTATCATTTGTTGTAATTAATATAGAAACATTCTATCAGCTAGTATGCTAGTGTATTTACTATTTAGAGGCCAAAGGAGTATTGCATCAGATAGATTAAGAAGTATTTTTGTATGTGTATTTAGAGTTATTGTCTATACAGTGGATCAAAGATCAAAGATACTTTATTGTCAACTACTTGAGCTTATTTCAGCATCATATGTGTAGTTCAAATTTTATGAAGAAAATAAAATGTAATATTATTTTTGTTAAAGACCCAAAGTGGGTATAAAAGACAGATGGAACAGCCCACAGCAACCAAATGTGGCCTATATGGCAGTTTAAATGTCCAGATCATACAAAATGAGAATTTTCCAAACTTTCTACTATAGCAGGATTGTAATGGTGAGATACACGCTCTTTTTTGTAACAGTGGTTCATGAATCTATAATTGATATTTTATTTTCTAATCAAATTCCGAAAATGTTGTTTTGTTTTTGTGAAATAAGACAATTCTCTTGTCTGTCTAAAGGTTAACAAACATACCACCAGGCTATATCTCTTATGTAGCAGACCATGTGGTTCTTTATATGCTGGACATTTAAACTGACCACATAATATTTGCACTGATTGGCTGAGCTGTGACAGCTTGGTTTATAGCTTGACTCGATTCCAAGACTGGGCCTTTAACATGATTTATTCACTGGTATTATACTAAATGTGGAATAAACCAACCAACATCATATTTTGCTAGATTACTATACATCTACAATTTATACTGAACTCGCCATTTTAAGTCATTCCAATATTTTTCTTAAAGGAAGTAGATGAGGGAGAGTCAAGTTGAGACTTGCCAAGTCATCCCTAATTTCAAACTCCAACAGTTCTAACTTAACTAAATTTCAGATCAGATTAGTCAGTTTTTAATAGGAACTCTTTTAATTCTAATTAATAATCTACTGTATATGTGATGAGATGTCTCATTTTTTTCATTTTCAAAAAAAAGAATCTTGCTTTTTGAAAAGTTTACCTCAAACATTTTACACTCTCAGTCTCTTCTAATTCCTTTAATGTAAGTTGCCATCTATGTTAATGTTAGTTAACAATTAACTGTAGTGAAAGCAGTCTACAATATTGATTGTTGACTTATGACATAAGTAAAACACCAAATTGCACTAGGTCTCTGTCAGTAGTCTACTAAAGGCCAATAAGCTCATAATGAGACCGGTCATTACATGGAATATATAAAGAATGCAAGTGACAATTAAATTGATCTTTGATTTCAACTTAATTAATAAGACGCGCCTTCCAAAAGGTTGTTTACACCCAAGTGCTGTTTAGGATCTTTAATTATGCAAGTGTAAATGATTCTATTCATTCCAATATAAACCCGAGAAGGCATGATCTGATTAGGAAAATAGGAAGATTAAAAGTTAAACCTTGAAGTGGAATACCTCCATAACTTAATGTAGAATGAACCTCTGTAAATGGAACACCTCCCATAGTGGACCACTATTTTGAGGTACCAAAGGTGTTGCATTTGCACAAGTTTTACTCAACTAAATTTTGCATATCATAATAGATGATATTAATGCAGTATTGTGTAATGTAATCTGTAATGAGCTTTATATGGACTGTCCATTCATGAACTACAAGAAGATATAAAATGTATATATTTTGGCAGGTTCAGAAGTAGAGTTGCTTAATGAATGTCCAGGTGTTGTAAATATTATCCAAGAACCATGTAAATATTGTCTAGTTTAGGGACTACCTTAAAGCAACAGTAGATAAGTGTTGGCCCCATATACAGGTGCATTATCTATGTTGTACATAGGTGCATTGTCTATGTTTTACATAGATGCATTATTGAATTGTCTATGTTGTACATGTTTGTATATACAATGTACTATGCTTACATCAATAATGGAGACATCTATAGCAGAGGTGCTGTGACAGTACAGAGACATCTATATTTTTCTGAGCCATAATATTTTACTAGAAATAGTATCAATATACATATGCTGCATACTCTAAAATAGGTGTTAATATTGATATATACGATATTATTAGTTGTTGTGCAGATTTCAATGGAGCAAAATATTAATAGCTTCGCTTCAATTATGATTGTATATCTCCTGTTCGAACCCTTAAAGTGGCACTGATCATCACTGACATGAGTATGTTTGAATGAAATAAGAATCTCATACTCGTGCTTTTGAAGTGCTATATATGCATGTGATAGATACTATGTGTCAGTCCTTGATTGACTTCCAGTGAAAATTTATATTTGGTGAAACTAAGCTATTGGCATCTTTGTGAATTGGAAATCATTTATACTTTGGTTGTCATAGTGACTTCTTGGAAATGATTTTTTAAAGATGATCAAACCTCACTATTGACGTAAATGACAAGTGCATGCAGTTTTAAGTTATTTTGGATCAAATAATACATACATTGCGACTTTAATTTTGAACTTCTATATAATGTTAAATCTTTGATCTAAATTTGAGCTGCAGTATTTTTACAATTTGTGTAAAACATTTGTCAACATTTGAATGAATAATCAAAAACGTTCAGGTCAATTTGTTTTTGCATCATCCACAAATTAATTGCTAGAGTGAAGAATTATATTTAGAAAACAGGACCACTGTACTTAACAAAACATCCAATTTAATGTGCCATTTTGAGGAAACCCACTATTTCTTTCTGGAAGGATTTTTTCCTCCAGTGCGGTGCTAAGCCTAGACCTCTAGTAACGTGTTCATTTATTTACTACATAAGTGCATCATGTATTCTGAATTTAACACTAAGGTGCACCATGTATGCTAAAAACATTCCATTGTTCTTTTGTCATACCAATAACCATATGAATTCCATTGAATATTTTTATCTTCACTTTTATATATACATACAGTGTGTAATTATAACAAACAGCAAAATAAAATGCCATACTAGTATTCATTCATATATGGATCCAGATAAAGGACGATTCTCGGTTTGGAGAACGAAGTTCTTCAATCTAAATGAGCATTATCCCTGCTTCGGACAAATTTGATTTTTTCACATAATATAGATTTGAATGTCTTCTTTTGAATAGTCATAATTTAATTTGGGTAATATTTTTAGATTTTTCGCAAAAAAATATTAGCGCAGTACACTGATGAACTTCTTTCCCCAAAATCAAGACTTGTATTTTATTGAATCAGTCTAATTGAGCATTATCCCTGCTTCAGACCAATTTGTTATTTTTACATCTTGTAGATTTAAATGTCCTCTTTTGAATATTCATAGTTTAATTTGGGTAATATTTCTATATTTTTCATGAAAAAAATTATTAGCCCAGGAGACTGTTCTCCAAACCGAGAATCGTCCTTTGTTTTCTTTTGAAAACAAACAAAAACATAAAATAATTTCTGAATGACATTAAATCAAAGTGATTTTAGTGAGTCTACTGCATTTGAGTGTAAGTCTACTGCATTTGAGTGTGAGTCTACTGCATTTGAGTATGAATCTACTGCATTTGAGTATGAGTCTACTGCATTTGAGTATGAGTCTACTGCATTTGAGTATGAGTCTACTGCATTTGAGTATGACATTCCTTTAAGTCAAGAAATGTAGTAGGACAACATTTGAGAAAATTATTTTACTATCAACTTCTATAGAGACAAAATTTTATTTTGTTTATTATTGTTCTACGCTATTGTAATGATGACCAGGTTATTGTAGTACATTCCTGTAAAGATGACTGGGTTATTGTGTTACATTATTGTAAATGTGACCTAGTTATTGTACTGCATCAATGTAATGATGACGTGGTTATTGAACTACATTATTGTAATGATGACCAGGTTATTGTGTTACATTATTGTAAATATGACCTAGTTATTGTACTGCATCAATGTAAGGATGCCATGGTTATTGTTCTACATTATGGTAAAATGGTGTGGTTATTGTACTATATCATTGTAAAAATGACTTTGTTATTGGGCCACATTATTGTGTTAATGATTGAGTCATTTCTCTGCATTACTGTAATAATGACAAGTTATTGTACGATATATATGTAAAGATTTCTTGATTGTTGTATTACATGATTATAAAGAGACTGACTTAGTTATTGTACTACACTATTACAATAACAGCCTGGTTTAATAATGTATGACATTATTGCATTGGTTACCAGGTTGTTGTACTTTGTTATTGTCATGATGCCTGTAAACTGTGCTATATTGTTGTAATTATGACCATTTTACTATATTATGTTGATGATAACCTGGTTATTGTTCTATTTTATTGTATTGTAATGATGATCTGGTTATTATAGAGATGTGCATTGTTACCTATCAGTGCAATAAAGTGACTGAAACAGAAATATGTTTGCTTGTTTGTTTGTAATTTGCTGAGTTGCTGATAGGAACAGTACTAGACCATTTGCTTTCTTTTACAGAAAAAATATTTAAGCCTGGAAAAACATACACTGCATTGTTAGACAAAAAATATCTTATGTCTGGTTGGCCTAATAATTGCATTTTGAAATGCTAACTGAGCTTTGAGAAGTTCTGAATAGAATAGATGGCAGCTGCTTCAAATAAGGTCTTACTAGTATAGTGGTAAAATAATATATACTCAAAACTGTATACATTGCTTAATGAGAATTCCCTGGGTGGAAACAGTACATTTTTCTTGTTTCATTCCAGTATAACTCCCTCTCCTCTTAACACTTCAAACCTTTCTTATGATTCGACAATAGTTCTTATTTGGCATTGTCCTGGCTTCAGAGGTTAATGATACAGACATGAAGGTCAGTTTCTAGGTCATAAAAATTAAAAGAGGAAAAACAAGGAACCCAAAGAGTATAGTACTGTTTTAAGTCGTGATTAAAATGTGTGTAAAGTCCCCATGTAAAGTTTGAAAATATGTTTTTATCATTCATTTACTATTTGGGACTTTAAAAGTTATTTTAGAGGTTTTTGAAAAAAAGTAATTTTGAAAAAGAGTCGTTAGCTTTTCATTTATCAAATATTTAAATTTCCCGCCATTTTTCAAAAATGAAAATTTTGATCATCGAATATTCCACTAAATAGTTCAAAAACATTATATTTTTGACACAAATGCAAAGATTGAACAACGGACACATTATTTCAGTGATAAAATATATCTTAATTTGCCACTTGAATGTTTTAGCATATCAAAAATATTTTGCAACCTAACTGGTGCCATCGTAACAACTAACGACACTCAGGTAGCAAAAACTTTTTGACTTTAAAAATAAACCAATGTTGATATCGATTGTCTAACCAGGTTAAAATGAAGAATATATTATGTTTCAGACATTATTGTACCATTGGTTTCTATTACTAATTAGAAATAAAATTCTCTGAACCATTTTCATGCATGCATGAGTTTATGAAGAAGATGAATACTATGCATTGGTGTGAATTATCGGTTATTAAAAGATATTTGTGACCTCTAAAAGGCTTTCGAATAATATATTTCCGATGGTGTGCTAAATGGTTAGTCACCTTTGATCCTGACAAGAGAACGCAAGTAACACACTGGTGATCCGCTTGATTACGCTGGTTCGTTTCGGTAACAAAATGTCGGAACCGGTCGAAAATACGATTTTTCTTTTCCCCC